CCTGGTTCCTGGTCTTTGTGGGGGAGCTTTGAGTTTCTCACCAATAAGTGATGTTAGCTGTAGGGTTTTTGTAAATATTCTTTATGAAGTTGAAGTGGTTCCCCCTCTAGTCTTAGTTTACTGAGAGATTTTATCATGAATTATCATTGGATTTTTTGAAATACTTTTTCTGCGGCAATTGATATGATCATAATCTCTTTAGCCTGCTGATGTATGAATTACATTAATTGATTCTTGAATGTCCATCCAGCCTTGCGTACCTGGAGTAAATCTCACTTGGTATATGATTCTTATACATTGTTGGATTTGCATATATTTTGTTGAGGATTTTTACATTTATATTCATGAGAGATATTGGTCTGTAATTTTCTTTTCTTGTAATGTCTTTATTGGGGTTTATTAATATAGGGTAATGCTGGCCTCATAGAAGTTGGGAAGCATTCCCTTTGCTCTTGTTGTCAAAAGAGATCATAGAGATTGGTATAATTTCTTCCTTAATTGTTTGGTAAAATTCACCAATGAATCCTTCTGGGCCTGGTGCTTTTTGTTTTAGAAGATTATTAAGTATTGATTCCATTTCTTTAATACATATTAGCCTATTCAGATTGTATGGTAGGGATTTTGTTTTTTAATTTTTTAACGTTTTTTTTATTTTTGAGAGAGAGAGCATAAGCAGGGAAGGGGCAGAGAGAGAAGGAGGCAGAATCTGAAGCAGGCTCCAGGCTCTGAGCTGTCAGCACAGACCCCAATGCAGGGCTTGTACTCACAGCTGTGAAATCATGACCTTAGCCAAAGTCGGATGCTTAATGGACTGAGCCACCCAGGTGCCCCAGGGACTCTTTTTAAGTAAATATTTTATTGAAATATCACCTGCCCAGAGAAAAGTACACTTAAGTTTATAGCTAAATACATTTTCACAAAGAGAAGATCCCTGTGAAACCAACATCTAGATAAAAAATCAGAGTATTAGCATCCCAGAAACATCTCTCATACCTGCTTCCAGCCCTACTTTTAGCTAACAAGGTTGTTATCCTGGCTTCTCACATTCTGTTTTGCATTTGTTTCTGAGCTGCGTATGAAAGGAAACATATATACTTTGTTGGGGTCTGGCTTTTCTTGCCCTTTTATGAGCAAAAGGTTGTGTGTGGCTCCATTCATTTTCAGGGCCACAGTGTCTCACTGTGAGTATATGTTTCCATAATTAGGAGGTCATTTCAGTTGTTTCTAGTTCTGGTTATCACAAAAACTGCTGTGGTAAACCTAGGTTTGCATTTCATTTGGGCATATTCCGTCCACATTTTTGTTTTGTTTTGTTTTTAATTAAATAATTTTTTAAATGTTTTTAAAATTTATTTTTGAGAGTCAGAGAGAGACAGCACGAACAGGGAAGGGTCAGAGAGAGAGGGAGACACAGAATTCGAAGACAGGCTCCAGGCTCTGAGCTAGCTGTCAGCACAGAGCCTGACATGGGGCTCGAACCCACAAACCGTGAGATCATGACCTGAGCCGAAGTCGGACGCCTAACCGACTGAGCCACCCAGGCGCCTCTATTCCGTCCACGTTTTAAAGACGCAGCTCTCCATGATCACATAGAGAATGATGTGTTCCATTTATTTTTTTTAACTTTTTAAAAAATGTTTTATTTATTTCTGAGAGAGAGACAGTGTGAGCAGGGGAGGGTCAGAGAGAGGGAGACACAGAATCTGAAACAGGCTCCAGGCTCTGAGCCAGCAGACAGCACAAAGCCCGATGCGGAGCTCAAACCCATGAACCGCGAGATCATGACCTGAGCCGAAGTCAGATGCTTAACCGACTGAGCCACCCAGGCACCCCGATGTGTTCCATTTAATATGTTTTGGGCTGGTTGCTGTGTCATTAAGCAGCATCTGTCCCTTCCAAAGCTAGAATGTGGGGCAGTGTGTTCGGAATGACACGTCCTGTTCAAGACTTACTGGTTCCTCACTTTTTACCTTCAGGACAGGATTTGGCTGTGAGGGTCAGTCAGATAACTCCCCAGTCACTGATGCAAAAAAATAACATAGACCTTGAAACTACCTTGAAATCAACATTAGCAGAAAAGTTTTCTTGAAGGATCAGAAGAGAATTTGTACGGGGTGGGGGGTAAAACAAACGTGTTAGGGTTTCACGTTTTAAGGTGCAAGGCACTTGAGCATTATGCTGGGTGATGCAGGAAACAAAAGAAACATACAGTTCAGCTCATGTGAAATGTCCAGAATAGCAAATCCCTAGAGCAGGAAGTAGATTGGTGGCTGTCAGGAACAGAGAGGATGGGAAAAGGAGTCACTGCTCAAAGGGCACAGGGTTTCCTTTTGAGTGATGAAAATGTTTTGGAACTAGATACAGGTGGTGGTTACACGTTGTAAATTACACTGAGTTGTTCATTTTGTTTTATTTATTGATTTATTGAGAGAGAGAGAGAGAGCTCGCACACGCGCATGAGCACATGCAGGTGAGGGGCAGGGAGAGGGAGAGAGAATACCAAGCAGGCTCCACGCTGAGAGCTGAGCCCAGTGTGGAGCCCAATGTGGGACCGACCTCACGACCGAGAGATCATGACCTGAGCTAAAATCAAGAGTCGGATGCTCAAGTCACCCCTGAATTGTTCACTTTAAAATGGTTAATTTATATTATGTGAAATTTACCTCAGTAAAAAAAAAACAAACAAAAAACGAGGGCAGGCGAATGTGTCTGTGAGTTTTGCGCGGCTTAGCATCTGCAATAGTGTCTAGTACATAGTAGGAGTTCAGTAAATATTTGTTGAATAAACGGTGCTTAAAAATAAACATACAAATTTATTTATTGTTTTTTGTTTTTTCCCCAATTATATTGAAACACTATATATATCTACAAAGTTTCTGAGTCTAAACTACTTTCCTGATTTCTTTTTGACAGATAGAAGATGGTGAAATTTTTGCAAGTATTAATCAGAAGGATGGTATGGTCAGTTTCCATGATAACCCTGAAAAATATAATAACCCAGCCATGCTTCATAACATTGATCAGGAGGTAAATATGAATGCTAGGTTTTGATTTTTTTTTTTTTTAATTGATGTTTGAGATACTGTATTTGAGATACTGCCCCTGTGCTCCAGGTTAATTTTAGTTAGTTTTTTTTTTTAAATTTATTTATTTTGAGAGAGATAGTATGTGCAAGTGGGGGAGGGGCAGAGAGTAAGAGAGAGAGAACCCCAATCTCACTGTCAGTGCGGAGCCCAACAGGACTAGAGCTCACAAACGTGAGAACATGACCTGAGCTGAAATCAAGAGTCAGATGCTTAACCGACTGACCCACTCAGGTGCCCCTTAAATATAAGTAGTTCCCAACTTGTTTCTAGGAACATCTTAGTTCCTACAAAGCTGTTTTTGAAAATGAGCATTGCTTATGGGGCGCCTGGGTGGCTTAGTCGGTTAAGCGTCCGACTTTCGCTTAGGTCATGATCTCGCGGTTCGTGGGTTCGAGCCCCGCATCGGGCTCTGTGCTGACTGCCAGCTCAGAGCCTGGAGCCTGTTTCAGTCTGTGACTCCCTCTCTCTCTGATCCTCCCCTGCTCACGCTGTCTCTCTCTGTCTCTCTCTCTCTCTCCTAGAAATAAATAAAACATTAAAAAAAAAAAAGAAAAAAAAAAAAGAAAATGAGCATTGCTTAACCCTCTCCTAGACTGTATGCTTATAAGTTAGTGGTGAGTTGGATTTCCCAGTGCCTCACCACAGCCTAGTTTAGCTACTGAAACACTTCAGGGTCTTCCAGTCAGTATACTTTTATCCACACCCAGACACCCTGTGTAACTCAGAGCCTCATTTTGGCTGTGAAGTGTAGTCCAAGGTCGGAAGTTCAGAAACCTCTATATGTCAGGAGAGGGAGGGATGGGGAGGGCCGGAGGAAGAAAGTCCCTGTTGGGCATGGCCAAAATGGTCCTTTTGCATCTTCTGAGGTCACATGTTCTGACTGCCACTCTGCGTTCTAGCAGGAGTCAGATTGTTGGGCGTGTTTTTTGCCTCACATTATGGAAGCAGATTGAACCAGCTGTCAAATCTCAGAAACCTAAAAGCAATGCATAGTAGACTTCTACACTCCTTGTTTTGCAATTGAAAATAAAAAGAACCCATGAAAACCGGAGGTTTTTGGTAACTAAGCGTAATAGCAAATTGCACCTTAAATGATGTATAATCTTCATCCCACTTAGTGTGCATATTTTTAGGCTTCACTGCAAAAGATATTAATGTGTTTGGTTATGGGGTGTACCCTAGATCCTACTGGGATGTTAGGTAATATACGGTACTTGTACAGTTAGCTTTATGCATTCAAAATACTGATTCCAAAAATGTGTGTTGCCCCAGGGGTTTTGGATCATGGGACTGTGAATGTAGCATGCATATTAATAGTCTAGGTTAAAAAGGAGGTAATTGACCTAAATTCGTTTACTAACCACCTTCAAACATGTCTGTCACCAGATGCTGAAGTGCATAGAGCTGGATGAGCGACTGAAGGCCATGGACCAGGAGATCACAGTGAACCCCCAGTTTGTACAAAAGGTGATTAGGGTTCACTTTATTAAATAGAAGTGGCCTGGACAGAAAAGGAACATGAACTTGATCTGAGGTTAAATGCTTAGTTGCCCGAAGTTCTTGAAAACCTTTGTGACCAAGTTCATGGAGAGAGTCACTGAGAGCATTTTCAACCTACAGCTGGAAGTATGCAAACTGGCTTGTCTTTGTACTCAGGGTGACCGACTGTTCTCGCAGAGGGGTGGGGTGTGCTTGTTTGGGGCTGGTGGGAAATCTCTGAGAAGGGCAAGTGTAAATACATCATCTCACTTCCTTCTTTACAGAGCATGGGATCACAAGAAGATGATTCTGGAAACAAACCGTCTAGTTACTCTTGAAGCTAACATCCATCCTGAGTTAGATGAGAGAAACTTATCACCTTGGCCAGTGGCAAGCGGTCGGAGGCAGCAGGGAGGACCAAGCCTGTTTCACCCGGACACTAAGAAATTACATTTTGTTTTGACATCTTCAGTCCCATATGCTTTAAGAAAACCATTCTCTCTGCAAAGAAAGGAAAAAAATGCAAACTTTAAAGTCTGTTGTGGATTTATTTATCCTCAGATTAATGTTGTTATTGCATTAAATCTACCTTTTTGTTTTAAATTACTTGAACATTGATGTGTCTTCTGTATTGCTTTTTTCCCCTCTGAAAAGTTTTTAAAGGATATAGTCCTTGTGAACAGAAATGGTTCAACCTGAGGAATTTGTGGAAGATTTGAAAAGTCTGGGAGAGTCCCTAAGGCAGAAGCTCATTCTTTATAATTAGTGGTAACATGTGTCTTGGTGACAGCACGAGCCGTGACCGCGAGCTGCTGCTGCACTCCTTCTGACCTGTGGAATGTGCTCACCTCATCTATCGTCTCTGTCTTGAGACCAGTGCCTCATTTGCTACATTTTCCTCCGGAAGGATTGTCAGTGAAGCTACACAGCTGCCTTTGATTATGCCCAGGGTCTCTCTGCAGAACTTGGCAACGTGTCTGACGAGGGCTCACCAGTTAAGCCCGGGAATGGTGTGGAGTCTGTGAAGTGTGAGAAAACTGAATTAGAATTTAGTCCTTAAAAACGTTCCTCTCGCTAGCAACATACACTTTTTTAAATGCGTCAGCTTGTACAGTCGGTCACATTTTCATGATCAAAAAAGAAAAGGAAAGCTCACGAGTCATGTGAAAAGTTGCCCCTAATAGAGAGGCCTTGGGGGTCACGTGGTCTGTTGTGGTACCTACTCTGCTTTGTCGCAGGAAAATAGCCACAGTGACTCCCAATAAAAGGAATACGAAAATAGGCAAAGGGCTGGATTTGACCCTTCGTCAAAACCCTCAAATTCTCTAGCTCAGCTTAGAGCCGCTTGTGGACTGCGTCATTTCCACTTAACGTTTACATGTGCTTAGGAAAAAACAAATATTTCATAGAAATTTTCCTTTTATCGACATAGTGAATTCCAGACTTTTTTAAAACAATTATTGTACAACTTCTGATATTCCTGGATGTAAATTAAAATCACCTAAGATGTGTTTGAGAATCCTGGTAGCTGCCAGTCATGACTGTTTAAAGGAATAATTCTCTTGTGGGCTTCAAAATGAAGTCATTAAAACACCACATTATTTTTTGAGACCAAGACTATGGTATTTAGGGCCTTGTCTTACTATGTGCAAACCACACATCCTGGCCTCTCCTCTGTCAGTGTTGCCTCAGCTTCATACCCGCCTTTTTCTTTCTGATTCTAGGGTAGAACTCTGCATACCATGTTTCTTTTCACCAGCTAGAGGCCAACTGGAAGCCTAGGGAGGAAAAGAGGACTGGCTTCCTACTACTGTCTGCTTCCTGTTGAATCGTAAAACCCCAGCAACAGCTCTTTGCCCAGACAAGGACAGTTGAGCGCAGCAGTGAGGCTTAGGCTGTTTCCCATCCTCTTAGAATTCATGTCATCACACCCCTCACACCCCTCAAGATTCCAGAATCAGAAGGTGGGCCTCCCTCACCTGCTCACATAGCTCGGGGTCTCTGTTCCACTGGGCACCTCCACCTTCTAAATTCTGCCAATGCTCGTATCTTCCCTTTGTTCGCCCAGCCCTAAGGGGGTAGCCAGTGTCTTGCCAGCTTTGCTTTCTCACTGATCATGTGGGCTACATTTTCTGACTTCCAAGATGTCACTTTCATTGGATGTCCTTGAAAGTTTATACGGTGTGACAGTCCAGTTTAATTAACCTTTGGCAGAATTCACTGAGGCAAGGAATTGGCACGTAGTTGTTACTTTTAAACAGATTTATAGGTTTGAGAAAACAGCTCCAAAAGAGGTAGGTGGCGGAAGCCAGCGGTTCTGGAGAGGATATTTAGTGACAAATGGAGTCCAGCTATAGTTGGATGCACGCTGAATTGTATTGAAAATGGCAGTGGTCGAATAAACTGTCCTACACATGGGGCCTTTATGAGTATATCATCATGCAAATAAGGATAACCTGAGCAAGGTGGTGTCCTCCACTGACAAATCAAGGAAGTTAATTCTTCAAATCAGTTACAACACACAAACAAATATTTTGTTTCTTGGCTTAAAACCTGTCAAACGAATGTCAGTTTCAAGAAGAGCTACCACTAAGAGAAAAATGGGAAAAAACCCAAAGATTACCAAAAAAAGGGGAAAAAAGTCTTCCTGGTTTCTGGAAACAATACAATATGCAAGCAATATACTTTGTAAAATAAAAATAGTCATGGTAACTGAAATTTTTGGAGAGTACTGTAAATTACTTGCTCATTAGCGTGGAAGTCAGTTAATCAGATTTGATTTAGCATTGATGCTATGGTCTATTTCAGGGTGAATCCTGTTCATTTTGAAAAATGTTGGAAACGATGTTTTCTTTTAGAAATTGAAAAGGCACAGCCACATGAGGAGGCTACAAACATTTCTGGCATCTTTCCACTAAGGTTTTCAAAGAATTCTGCAAACGCAATAAAATTCAAGTATCTAAATGGTTTTTTTTTTACATTTAATGTTTATTATTTTTCAGAGAGAGAGTGCGCAAGAGAGAGAGCATGAGTGGGGGAGGGAAGGGGGGGAGGCACAGAATTTGAAGCAGGCTCCAGGCTCCAAGCTGTCAGCACAGAGCCCTTCAGCGGGCTCTAACTCACAAACCAGGAGATCATGACCTGAGCAGAAGTTGGACACTTAACCGACTGAGCCACCCAGGTGCTCCTCAATCTCAATCTGAATTGTTGATGGCAAAAATAAAAAGTAGAATTCCAAATCAGGGTATCCTTGTGGGTTTTCTGTTATTTCCCTCAAAACTTATCTTGTGACTTACCAGCCAAATATATTCAGTCTGTGCTGTTCAGTATCAAGAGGAATTTGAGCGTTAGGACTAAGTAAACATATAAAGGCAATGCCTAACCTCCTAACTCCCATACTCCTTGCATAATGTTTTATCACACCACTAAAAGAAGGCAGAAAACAAATTGCAATTTTTTCCTCTGTCTTCTAACATGGAAATTCAGAAAAAGAAGTGATCGCGGTGATTTGAAAAAACACAACCACCTACTTCTACTTCAAAATGATTCAGGCTTTTCCCGCCAACGCTTGACGACAACCTCCTTCTGAACACCCCCTGCGGCAGCACAGGGACCAGGACTCCATCCTGAGGCGCATAGAAGGGTCGGCGGTCTTTAGATCGAACAGGACACAAGGTGGCAGCACCATCTCGTAGGTCAAACATTTTCCTGCGGTTCAGGGCGTCATTCACATCCTTCTAGCTCTTCACTTTAAGGACCGACATGACATCACGCACTAAGAGCCTTAAAATTAATCTTTAAGTAGACTGACTGAGTAACAAGCACCCAGGTTTTAAAAATATATATTACTTAATAATTGACTCATACTTTTAAAGACCTGAATGAATTATTATTGTTCGGGTAGGTGAGGGGGTCACGCACATGCGCACTCTAGCCGCACTCAACCTCCAGTTACCGAACTGGCCACACCACCGCGTCGCGCGCTTGCCCACGGTCACGTGACGGCCACCTCCCGGCCACCTGCCCGCACGTCCCACAGAAGACGAGTTCTATGGGCAATTTAATAAAAGCCGAGGGTGAAACTATAAGACATTACCCCGCTGTAACGTCGAGACATTCTATTTCATTTTCTCTTCGGTGTGGACCTGGAGCTAGACTAAGTTGGCTATACTTTTCCTCAAATCTCTCTTTAAAATGTTTCTTAATTTTAAGCATCCCCCCCCCCGCCTTGAAATGGTTTCCTCCATCAGCCCGGCCGGCGCGGCTGGAACCATTCCGTACTTCTCGATGGGGGGAGGCGCGGCAGCCTGGCGCCAAAAGAAGGAGGTGTCGGGCGGCCGCTTCAGGTTCCCGTCAGAGTTCGGCGTTGCCGGGCTCCCGCGGTCTTCCCGAGTGTGCGGGCTGGGCCAGGCCTCGCTCGCGTCGCGGCGCAGAGGCGCTCTCCGCCAGCCCGCGCGCCCCCCCTGCGAGGTGGACGGATGGTCCGGCCCGGCCGAGTCACGCGCCTCGGGCTCGGCGCCGCGGCTGCAGCGGCAGCGGGTGAGTGAGGCGGCGGTGGTCCGACCTGGGGCTCCCCTGCCGGGTGGGAGGCGCGGGGACTCGCGGCGACCCGCGGACGTCCTGGCGGGCCGACGAGCTCGGGCAGGGGCGCCGGGCGGGTCCAGTGAGGAAGACGCTGTCAGGTGCGCCGCGGCCCGGGCGCCGGAGCTGGGCTCGGAGCTCTCCCCGCCCTCTGGAATTCAGCTCCGCCGCGCCCCCGCGGCCACCCGCGCTCAGACAGCGCTTGCGGGAGGGAGCCCCGGAGCGGTCCCCCGGCTTGTCCAGGCAGCTCGAAGCGGGGCTGTCGCGCTGCTTCGTGGAATTTGAAGGGAGCCTGGCTTCCGGGAGGAGGGCTTACGGAGGGTGGTGGCGGCGGGAGGGAGTCGCTGAGGGCGAGGAAGGGTCCGCGCCCGTGTTGGAGAAGCCTGGCCGCCTTCGGGTTAGCTGTGGGGGCACAGCCGGGCTTTGAGTTGGTGTGCGGTGTTAGGGATCGGGGTGGCAGGGGGCCAGAGTGGAAAGGGTTGCTGAGAACCTGGGATGTGGGTGGAGGCAGGGTGGGGTGCGGGGCAAACCCATGAACCGTAAAGGGGATGAGGAACGTGACCTGGGTTCAAAGCCCCATCAGCGTCGTCGGTTCATTCTCCTTTAATGCTGCCGGGAGACTGCACTCTTGGCCTTCCCTCCCTCCCTCCCTCCTTCCCAGGTTTTGCCTTCCCTCTGGTTTAGGGAAGAAGGTGTGTGTCATAATTCTTTTTTTTCCCCAGGCTGGCATTCTGAGGCCGGCACTGTGATGAGCTGATAGGCCTAGAAGGGTGGGTAGAAAACCACTTTTCTTCCCAGTGGTGGGTATTGTTAGATGCTCCTTACCGCCAGGAAAAAATGTCTCCGAATTGAGGCCCCAGGTGATCTTCAGCACCTAGGGAGGAGGCACAGGGCAAGGGGTTTGCTGAAAGGACGTACTGGTTCTCCAGCTCTTGGACCCCTGGCACCACCCACGGTGTCCCGCTAGAGTGGTAATAGGCGCCCCGTGTCCCAGCAGAGAAAGTGCTGGAGGCATTGGATTATCAACACTGTTATGAAGAGATTGGGAAATAGTGGCATGTGACCATGTTTGCCCTTCTAGTGTCATACATCCGGAACTTTGTAAACCAGAAACCAGGTGAAGTCAGTAGAGGTAGCAAAGCCACCACCGTGTAAATGGGCTTGAGCTGGAAGCAGTCCCCTGTGTAACTTTTCACCTTGCACTTGCTGCGATCTGGCTGCGGACCTAATAAGACTCCCCTGTGGGAGACTGGGTAGAGAAGGTGCAGAGGATTCTTACTGGCTAAGAGCTCTTAAGATACCGGAATTATTTGCAAAGTTCTCTTTGGTCCTCTGTGGTCCTATGAGAAGACCACAGGAAGTGGATGAAATAGACCCAGGGCCAGGCTTAGCCATTGGGGGAGGGGGGGCTGTGGAAAGGGCCCTGTCTCTTGCAGTTATTTGGATTCTTCCTTTGAGTATAAAGTTGAAGAGACTGGGGGTGGGGGGCGGCAGTGTGCATATTTCTGCTTCGTTGGATTCTGGAAAGCTCGTTGGGCGGGAAGAGCTGTTAGGCATACTCAAGCCAGTTTATTTTCTTCAATAAACATCTGGTAGAGATTGGAATAGAGAACTGACCTGCTCCTCAGAATTCCGATTCCACGTGCAGTGGTTAACCTGAGAGGTGGGGGTTCTTGTGTTTCTCAGCCTTTTTTTTTTTTAATGTTTTATTTATTTCTGAGAGAGAGAGAGACAGCATGAGCAGGGGAGGACCGGAGAAAGAGGGAGACACAGAATCCGAAGCAGGTTCCAGGCTCCAAGCTTGTCAGCACATAGCCCAACGCGGGGCTCGAACCCACAAACCGTGAGATCATGACCTGAGCTGAAGTTGGACGCTTAACCAACTGAGCCACCCAGGCGCCCGTTTCTCAGCTTTAGGGTGGTACCGAATGAGGATAAGTAAGATGTTTGACATCTTCCTGGCAGGTAAGAGCTGGAGACGGGCTTTTTCTGTGTGACTTCAGAGCCAAGTGGTATGGCCCTGTCTTCCACTGGCTGCCTGGGGCTATGGGACTCCTGATCGGAAGTCAGAAGTCTTACCCTTTTGTCCGACAGGACTGCTTCTCTTTAAAAAACAAGACAAGGGGGTGCCTGGGTGGCTCAGTCATTTAAGTGTCCAGCTTCAGCCCAGGTCTTGATCTCACGGTTCGTGAGTTCAAGCCCTGCATCAAGCTCTGTGCTGCTGACAGCTCAGAGCCAGGAGCCTGCTTCAGGTTCTCTGTGTGTGTCTCTCTGTCCCTCCCCAATTGCACTCTATCAAAAATAAATAAACAATAAAAATTGTTTGTTTTTTTTTAATAAAAAAACAAAACCCAGAAAACTATTAACGAGAGTATCCCGTGTTGACTATGAGTGCTGGGAAGTAGCTTAGGAACATCATGTTTGGTCTTTCCTTCCCATTTGAGGAGGAAAGAAACTTGCAGGTCTAAAGTCGGAAGGGTTGAATTGGCCTGGTGTGGGTAACCAACGGTAGGAAGGATGAGGACCCTAAATTTTAAAATATTTTGTGTTTTTAAAAAGACAAATATATTTCTGTTCAAAAAATTCTTTAGGAAATAGTGCCGTAGACATGTAAAAGTTGAGCTCACGTTTCGGCTGCCATGCCAGCTTGCTGTCTGTTACTGCTCAAAAGGCAGGAGGCCCGTAAAGCCGTTCAGAGCCCTGAGAAGCCCCACATCTTTTTTTGTGATGTTCTGAGTTTAAGTTGGCAGTAAGCCGCTTGATTTTTGTGTGTGTATCACTAAGTCCGTTGCGCGTAGAATTCGCTTTGATTTTTTTTTCTTCCCTAGGAAAAAAACTTCAGGTCTTAGAGCTGAAGTATGGCTGTCCTGCCTGACGCATTTGGAAATGGCCTTGAGTGCTCTCGAGTAGGCGGGACAGTGGACGTGTAATTTTTGCCGGGGATAAAGGTTCGTGTTGATGCTCTATACATGGGGTGAACCTCAGCCACGTGCTGCTTTCATGCGATGTTTTGTTGGAAGGAACCGTAATTCTCTTTTATGTCTCAAGGAAGGTGTGGCCTCTCTTTCCAAGGTTAATGCCTCTGCCTTTGGGTCTCAATACTACTTCTCTGAGGTTCTTACTTCATCAGTGGTCACCTCACCCCCTCTTCCACAGTGGATTCCTAAAGCATCATTGTCCTTGATCTCCCCAGAGTGAGCTTGGTGGAACCTTTGTTTAAATTGGCTTACGTTGGTCTCGTGACACTAAGCTCTCAGACTCCTATTCCTGTGGTTGTGCTCTTGAACCTCTCCTGCCCAAAGATATCCTCGGTGAGCCCTCCACTTCCTGCGGCAGCAACTGCCCTCTCGTCACAGGCAGCTCCCAAATCCCCTCATCTGTCCAGCACGTCAACGTGGTGCCTACCGTGTGTGTCAGGGACTGTTGTAGACACGGCCTAAGGCCGACTCCTGGCCATGCTTAGGGAACACACGTACAGGGGAAGCGCGGTGCGAGGAGGCGAGTGTGATGCAGTGGATGTGAGCAGCTGTTCTCGGGGGCTGCTTTGGGAGGCCTCTCAGCAGGGACGTGCAAGGCAAAACTGAGTGGTGAGGGTGGGGAGTCAGGCAGAGGTCTGTGGCATGGCCTGGACCTTGGCCCCTTGCTTGGCCCTCCCTGATAGTGCGGTCTGTAATTGCCATGCAGCTCTCGGGGTTTTCCAGCTAAATGTCCTGCTGTCTCTCTAACCCTGTCTCCTCTCCTGCTGCCCACCTTCCTCCGGGAAGTGCCCCGGCTGTGCATGCCAGGCACCCCCAAATCCCCATCTGATCCCATGCCTGTCTCACATTGGCCCAGCTGATCTTCAGTTTCTGTTTTATATTGGCCTCGGTCATTCCCACTGTAACACTTGAGCTCCAGCCCCTCCCTCAGGGACAGGGATGGGGACAGGGGCAGTAGTAGTTGTGGCAGCTGAGAGGTTGTCTGCGAGGTGCCATCTGGGTGGCAGAGTAAGCGAGCCGGCTGGAGAAGGGAGGCCACCAGGAGGACACAGTGACAGACACACCACGTGGGGTTTTGAGGACATAGTCACCTAGGACTTGCCCCCCGTGCGTGTTCGCACTGGATCTTCTGCTTTGTCTCCCACTGGGTTCAGCTTCCTGGGCAGGTGCCTTTGACTGGCCACGCCTTGGTCGTGCCCATGCAGGGGGATGAGGACAGAGGATGTCTCGCCTTCTTTGGCTCTGTAATGGGGGAGGGGGTCCCCAAAAGAGAAGAGGGTTTGGATCCTGGCCACTGGCCTCTATGCACATTTACCATATTTTTCATCAGAACCTATCAAAGGCTCTCCAATGTGTACAAACTTCCGGTCTTTACCGAGGCCTAGAAGATTCCCTAAAATCCATGTCTTCTGCCTGCATTACTCAGCTTTATAGACAGACCCTAAGTCCTGCCCCCTCCACCCCCACGGCTCCCTTCAGCTTTTAGTCAGGGAGCCCTTGTGTCCAAAAGCGCATCCCACCTCCTCCAGCACTTCTCTGCCCTGGCCCCGCCGTACTTTTCGTCCCAAGGCTGGCACCACAGGGAGAGCAAGCAGTCTGTCCTGTGTCCCTCCCCAACTAGGTGTAAGCTCTGTGAGGGTGGCGGCCTATCACCCAGCACAGCTGCTGTTGATTGAATAAATAAGCGTCTCCTCCAAACCCCACTGGCATCTCCTCCAAACCCCACTGGCATTTGTTTGTGTCACATTTGCCCCATCGTCACTCACATGTGCGTTGTCTTCTGTGCTGACTACCTCGTAGTTGCAGCTCTAACTGAATGGTTTTCTGTGTGGTCCTTGAATTGCATCCTCCTTCCTCTGTTGTGACTCCTGGGCGGCATGTACTGAGTCTCATCCACCTTGTTTCCTCTGCACCTGGTGTAGTGCTGGGTGGGGGACCCAGCTCTGCCGGCCGGGAAGCCCTGTGCCCTGGAGGAGCTGGCAGGTTCTGGGGTGTGAACACAGGCTGGGCAGCTGATGGTGTTTTCTCTCCTCCCCCCTACGCGGGCCGTCTGCTGTCCCCAGGCCACCATGAACGCCATCGTCGCTCTCTGTCACTTCTGCGAGCTCCATGGCCCCCGCACTCTCTTCTGCACCGAAGTTCTGCACGCCCCACTTCCTCAGGGGGCTGGGAATGGGGACAGCCCTGGCCAGGGCGAACAGGCTGAAGAGGAGGAAGGTGGCATTCAGATGAGCAGTCGGATCCGTGCTCACAGCCCAGCGGAAGGGGCCAGCGCGGAGTCCAGCAGCCCGGGACCCAAGAAGTCGGACATGTGTGAGGCAAGTGTCTCTCAGGGTGTTGGAGATGTTTCTTTCTCAACAGGGACTCGTGCTGTGTATTTGACCTCCTGGAGAGTGGGCATGACACTCTGTGAGACAAGAGCAGTGGGCATGACCTCACGGGAACGTGTGAGGTCGGACCGTTGTTTGTGTGTCCTGTGGAACGTGCTTGCTGCTTCTCATGTCCCTTTAGTTCTTTCCCTTCGCCCCAGCCTCTGCTTTTCCAGCCCTTCCCTCTGCTGCCCATGTCTGCACGCGGGCCCATCCTAGGCTCCATTTCCCTCAGTCCAGCATTCCCAGGAAGTTTTCTCCTCGTGCGGTCCTGGCTGTGACTTTTGGTGTCATTTTGTGAGCTCTAGGGAATGAGGTTTGAGTCCCCTCAGCAGGCTGCTGCTTGCAGTGACAGACCTGGGTCGGACCTGAAATCAGGGGTCCTGTTGTCACTCCAGTGTGAACAGGAATCTATCCGCCTTGGTTCAGTTCCATTGAGAAGCAGCTAGCAAGTCCCAGATTACTCTGTTTATTCCTGGAAACATCTGTGAGGAAGCAGAAGGTGGGGAGAGCCTCGCTGCCATGACAAGTCTGACGGCTGTGAAGGAGAAGGAAGGAAAGAGGGCTGGGCACAGTCCCTGAGCTGGAGTTGCGGTGGGAGGGCTCCTGCATCTCACAGGAGGGGCTCACCTCCATACCCTCGTGCAGTGTCAGGTGGGGGTAGCCCAGGATGCGTGCTCTCGGCACCAAGGCAGTGGTGGCTCCAGAGGGGCAGCACTGGGGCCTCCCGTCCCTCTGCTCCACAGGACACAATCTGAGCTTGTGTTCTATGTGCAGCAGCAGTTTGGAAGTCTGGCAACCGCCCGAGGCCCTCACTCAGTGTCTGTGTCAGCACCAAGGACAGAGGTTGACGCAGAGCTCTGTGTGAACCTCAGCTTTGCCTTCTGTAAACTGGGGATTCTCACTGTAATGATCTCATAGGGTTGCACTTTGGATTATATGAGGTAACGTATGCAGAGCTCTTCATGATACCTGCTACGTGAGTGCTCATATTAGACCTTGTTCATGCTTTTTGACGATCTTTGCGATCTCTCTGCCCTCATTTTCCCATTCAGGGAAAATTGAAATCTTCAGATAAGTACTCTAGAAGCCAGTTATTTTTCTATGAAAATATACTGAGTCTTTTGTCCTGATGTGTATAGGAAAGTTTGTTGCCTGCTTCCTGGCTAACTGGTCTTTTTTTCCTTCTGGGGTGCAGGGCTGCCGGTCACTTGCTGCGGGCCATCCCGGCTATATTAGCCATGATAAAGAGACCTCAATTAAATACGTCAGTCACCAGCACCCCAACCACCCCCAACTCTTCAGCATTGTCCGCCAGGCCTGCGTGCGGAGCCTGAGCTGTGAGGTGAGCACCGTGACCCCACAGGGGACTCTGGGAGTATCATGCGCATCCAGGTGCCCGAATGGGTTCAGTCCTGATTACAGTAAGGACAGAGTCAGTCCTGTCTTGAAGAGGATGGTGGATCAGTGAATGGGAGCACCGAGCAGCCCCAGTTCTCGAGAACTCCGTAATATGTTGGGTTGGACTCTGGTTTTCTAAGTGGTTCCTAGCTTATCATTTCAAGCTCTAGACTTCCGATGTCTGTTCCTTCCTGCTGAAAATATTTCTAAGATCTTATGTATTTTTAGGATATGTCATTTATCATATCAGATAAATCACTTTTTTATTGTCTCCCTCATTGTTAGAAGCCTTAGGGGTCACCAGGTGCCCTCAGAACCTGTGGAAGGGTAAATCAGTTTGTTCCTTAACTATACCCAGCTATTGTTTTGAGTTCAAGTCTGAGCTCTTATGTTTGTATCTGTCATGAAGAATTGATATTCCAGTTGTAAAATTTCCCTTTTCCGTACTGACTTGAGCAGACACACTGAGCCCCCTCTGTGTTTTCACTTACGGTTGCAGTGTGCCTACCTCCCGCTGGTTCCCTCCTTTTGATTTCCTGTTGTTAATGTCCTAGAAGCAGATGATTGTGCCTGATAGAATTGTGTGTAAAGTAAGAGTGAGTATGTCATGAGGGAGACCTAACTTCTCTGCTCTAAACAACGTGTGCAGATTTTTTTGAATGGACCCTACAGTGAGTCTTTTGACCTTCTCCAGTATATTCGAGATGAGTGATGTTGGCAAATCTGAGTCTGGAGTATTTACAATATTTGAATAGGAGTTATTTATGGCCCAAGGTAGAAAAAAGTCATTAAGCTACTCGCCCTTGCAGTCCAGGTTAACATATTATCTTTGGAAACCTTGATCCCAGGAGCAGATGAAAGCAGTTTTTCTCTGTTGGCCCTACCTTCCCCACCCTTCTTATGATGAATGCTAGTTAACTAGTCCAGAGAGGTAGTCTGAGAAGGAGAATTTGACTTTGTGTCACTAAAGCAAGCACATGACTGTGTCTTGGAATGAGCGTTGATCTTCACAGGTCTGCCCTGGCCGTGAAGGCCCCATCTTCTTTGGGGATGAGCAGCACGGTTTCGTGTTCAGCCACACTTTCTTCATCAAAGACAGCCTGGCCAGGGGCTTCCAGCGCTGGTACAGCATCATTGCCATCATGATGGACCGGATTTACCTCATCAACTCCTGGCCCTTCCTGCTCGGGAAGATCCGAGGGATCATTGATGAGCTACAGGGCAAGGCACTCAAGGTGACCCCACAGAAAGAGTGGGTGGCAGTGGGGGAGGAGCTTCACGCCGACGGGGCTCAGAGCACGGGTGGATTTATGACCGTACTCCAGGTCTTGCGCTGTCGCTCTGTCTGAATCTTCTGCTTTCAGCGTTGGGGCTGGTGGTGAGCGTCACAGTCATCCTGCTTGCTTTCCTGGGCTCCCTGGAGTCCACTGTTGTCCCAGTTCTCCTCCGGCTCTGGCATCTTTACTGCGGTCGGATGCCCTGGTGTCTCCCTGGTGCCTCTGCGTCCTCTGACCTTATTTCAGAAGCCTGTCCGTTAATCGTGCTGTAGACCCCCCACCAGCGTAGACCTGTAGCTGTGGCATCGTGTGTCTCAGGATAGGCCAGGTTACACTGTGGAAACAGACAGCCCTTGGACCTTGAAACCAGTTGGGTGTTGTTTCTGTTCTGTGTCCTCTGCAGGGAAGTGGGGGGATCTACTCACTGCACTCAGCCCAGCAGGCGGAGCGGCAGCCACAGGGGAATGTTGCTCTTTTCTCTGCTGGAGGGGTGGACGGTGCTGGAGAGCCTTGTTTGTCTCCCCTCATTGCCAGAACCGGGCATGGGTCCCACCCACACAGGGTCTCTCAGTGGAAGCCTCCATGTGCCTGGGAGGGGAGACTGGACATACTTGTGGCATAACACTGATGACCACCCCCCACGTGCCACCGAGTCCCATCCAGTGCCTAGGGAGTCGGTTGTGGTGGAGGGTACAAGAGACACCTAACCGATTCCCCTTCTTCAGATGGCTTCTAATCAAATTATGAGGCAGAACCGTTCCATTTGGAATTGTGAGGCTGGCGGCACTTTGTGCACCCTGCCTCGGGACAGCAGAATGGGACTGGGTTTTCAGGAGGAGGGTCTGGGAAGTTGGCTGTGAACCACCAGGCTCTGGGCTGCTTGGCTGGTTTGGTTTGGTTTGGTTAAAAGGCTACCCCTTTCCAGGGTGCTTGATGGGCTCAGTCACTTAAGCATCCAATTTCAGCTCAGGTCATGATCTCACTGTTCATGAGTTCGAGCCCTGCGTCTGGCTCTGTGCTGACAGCTTGGAGCCTGGAGCCTGCTTCAGATTCTGTGTCTCCCTCTCTCTCTCTCTGCCACTCCACCGCTCACACTTTGTCTCTCTCTTTCAAAAATAAACATTAAAAAGCCACAACAGCAGACTAACCCTTTCTTTTGCGATTCAGGTATTTGAGGCAGAGCAGTTCGGATGCCCACAGCGTGCTCAGAGGATGAACACAGCCTTTACGCCATTCCTGCACCATAGGAACGGTAACGCCGCTCGTTCCCTGACATCCTTGACAAGCGATGACAACTTGTGGGCATGTCTTCACACCTCCTTTGCTTGGTACGGAGCTGTTCAGGAGTTTCAGCCCGTGTTAGAATGGGAGCAGTCACAGCATAGTGGTGGGGTTATGCATGAATCTGGGGAGAACTGTTGTTAGAGGAGCTCCTCTAGGTGCCTCCCTGCTGTGTGCTGTTGGTAGGCACTGACCTGGGCTGCGACTGGGGCTGGGTCCTCCTCTTCCTCCAGGCTTCTCCCCCCGAGCATGTATAAGATGTACTTCGGTGGCACTCACTTCCCCATGATCTGTCTGTTTGTACGTTACTAAAAAAAAATTTGTTTTCAGTGTTTATTTTTGAAAGACAAAGAGTGAGGAGGGGAGGGGCAGAGAGAGAGAGAGAGAGAGGGAGACCCAGAATCCAAAACAGGCTCCAGGCTCTGAGCTGTCAGCACAGAGCCCGATGGGGGGCTCAAAGCCATGAACTGTGAGATGATGACCTGAGCTGAAGTCATACACTTAACCAGCTGAGCCTAGGCACCCCTATCTATTTATTTTTTTAATTATTTTTTGAGAGAGAGAGCATAAGTAGGGGATGGGCAGAGAGAGAGAATCCCAAGCAGGCTCCACACTATCAGTGCAGAGCCTTACTCAGGGCTCAAATTCATGAAACTCAAGATCATGACCTGAGCCAAAACCCAAGAGTTGGATGCATACCTGGCTGAACCACCAAGGTGCCCCTCCCTGTGATATGTATAAAACGGTGCTCCCTTACCCAGAACAGCGATCAACTCCCTTCTTTGTCTTCGACAATAAACATTTATCTCATACAGTTCTGTGGGTCTGGAATTTGGGAGTGGCTTAGCTGGTGGTTCTGGCTCAGCTTCTTGGGAAGTCACAGGTCAGGCATGCAGTCATCTGGCAGGTTGGTAGCTGCCGTGGGCAAGGTCATGTCAAGCACGTGCTGTGTGTGTGGAGTGTGCTGCTCACTAACACCTGCCAAGTCAGGAGGAAAGGGTTGCCTTGGAAAACCATCACAGGGTGCCGGGGCGGCTCATTCGGTTAAGTGTCCGACTCAAGTCATGATCTCACGGTTCATGAGTTTGAGCTGCACGTCCAGCTCTTTGCTGACAGCTCAGAGCCTGGAGCCTGATTCAGATTCTGTGTCTCCCTCTCTATCTGCTCCTCCCCCACTTGCACCCTCTCTCAAAAATCAATAAATGTTGAAAAAAATTTAAAAAGAAAAGAAAAAGAAAACCACCACAGTTTGGCCTCTGGCCTCAGATGGCTTCTGTTCCTTTCACTGCAAGATGCCTTTCCATAGACTCCCTCCCATTCTCATTCCTGTACCACAGCGGCTGGATGTGGGTGCTCATCGTGTAAGTCAGGCCCAGGTGCAGAGGAGGCACCTAGAACAAAGGTCTTTGAGGGTGGCTCCTGAGGGCCTGTGATGTCAAGAGAAGGAATCTGTCTCCTCCACCCAATGTACAGTCATTCAGGGAGGTTTTCACACAGACTCAAAATAGAGTAAATAGTCTAGTGAACTGCATGCCTCATCGTCCAGCTATAACGGTTGTCAACATTGGACTGATTTTTTGTCTCCTAACTTTTTTCCGGAGTGTTTCAGTTTTTTTGTTGTTGTTAATGTTTATATTCATTTCTGAGAGAGAAAGAGAGAGAGAGAGAGAGACAGTGTGAGCAGGGGAGGGTCAGAGAGAGAGGGAGACACAGAATCTGAAGCAGGCTCCAGGCTCTGAGCTGTCAGCACAGAGCCTGACGCGGGGCTTGAACCCACGAACCGTGAGATCATGACAGCCAAATTTGGACGCTTAACCAACTGAGCCACCCAGGTGCCCCACCAGAGTGTTTTCTTTGAAGCACATTTTAGTTATGTCATTTCAAACATAAAACCGTTATCCAGCAAAACTGACAAATTCCGTAGCATCATCCAGCCCAATCCATGTTCAGGTTTCCTGGTTTGCCTTGGAACTGACTATTGAAGTGGGGTTGGATCACCCCTCCACAGTGCAGATTGCTCTCCTAGCCTGGAGCACCTTCTCTTGTGCGTCTGTCAGCGACTCTTCTGTGCCTTTTTTTGGAAGACCTGGGTCACTTGTCTTGCAAAATTCTCTTTTTGGATTTGGCTCCTTGTAACCAGTGGTGCATGTAGCATGGTCTTTTATACGGCCTTCCCTGTAAACTAGTAGATCCAAAAGCTTGGTTGGCTTCAGTTTCCGTCTTTCTTTTGGTAAGAATACTTCACAGATGGTGCTTTGTTCTCCAGGCTCCTGAAAGCGTGCGGCAGCCGGCTGACTGAGAAGCTCCTGGAAGGTGCGCCCACGGAGGACACCCTGGTCCAGATGGAGAAGCTTGCAGGTGAGCCCAGAGAGCCCGTGCTGGAGGCCTTGCCTGTGGTGGCTGGCGGGGGCCACCTCACAGCCTCCAGGTCTCCCTCGGTCCTCGCGAAGGGGACTTGAGGATGAGAAAGCCAGGGGAAGCAGCTCAAAGTGCTTGCCCTTCGTTCTTGGTGTTTTTATCATGATTTCCTGTCTCCTTTGTCTTGATGGTCACATGGAAGTATCTAGTGCCCTAGGCAGGTTGGGAAAGTCTGCCAGTTGGGGTTGTTAGTCTGTGGAGAGGATGGATTGATTGAAGGTTTTCTTGTCCCTGTTTTATGATAATCAGGTACTTGGTCTCTCTAGACAGTCTCTCATTCTTTGCTGTTTAACAGTAAAACATTATTGGGTGTCGGCTGGACCCAAGGTTTTTGTGAAGGGTGGTTCCCAAGCCTTTATCTGGGTGGTCCTCCCCAAGTTCATGACCAGAGCTCCACGTCTGGGGTCCTAGATCTTGTAAGTAACTCCCCAGGGGACTCCAGTGCCCCATGCACTGGGCCCGGAACCTCTGGTCTCAATCCAGCTGTGTTTTTCCTCCGGAGATAATTTGATTCTTGGTGCTCCAGGTCCACGGCCTCAGCTTTGGGGCTGGGAAAACCAGATTTGTGATGTGCGTCGTGTGTAGTGCGTGGTACCAGTAACACTTGACGCACTTCAGGTTGTGTAGAATTGACCTTAATGAATTGGAGCTGTTTCTAGGTTATTCCTAGTCAAGTGACTTTGCACGTACTGGATTCTAGTGTGCTGCTTTCCTGAGTGGGAGGAAGGGAGTAAAGTTTCAGCAAGAGCAGAGCAAGCTCTGAAAGACAAAACTGTAGCCATCCACCTTCATGTACTCGTGGATCAAGTTGGGCCTGGAACCATTTGTTACCCTGATTAGAAATCAGAAATTTCTAGGCTGGTGGACATGGCAAGGATAGTCTGTTGGTGAGAGTATTTACACAGAGAGCCAGGTCCATTCGAGCCTGTAGGAAGGATAGACATGCAGACACGCGGGACTCTCTGTCGTGTGCTGGACTGCAGTTTAGCTCAGAGCACACACTTGGATTTGGACAGACCTGGCACCAGATCCTGGCTCTGCTCCTGTGCACAGATAAGGCCTCTCCTGGTGGGTCTCACGTGGAACACGGAATGAGGATGTCATCGTTTGTGACAACTGTCACACAGATTAATGGAAATAACAAGTATTTTTTTATCTGTAAAATGAGAATAGCACTGATCTCAGGATACTTGGAAGGATGAAGTGGGATAGCGTGTGGCCACCCCCAGCATAGCACCTGCCGGGGAAGTGCTGGTGAATCAGTGGTCAGCTTTCTCAGCATTGCCTCAAATTTTCCCATGACCGTGAGCAGCTCCTAGTGTTGCAGGCGCCTGCTCATCATGCAGTGGGAGCCTTTGAGCTCAGTAAGTAAGCAAGCAGACCGAGCCTCCCTGCTCACCCCAGGTCTCCGATGACGATAGGAAGTATGGAGAGCTGGCCAAAACCAGAAATCAGGAGATGCCCTGTGCTAAAGTGGACGCAACACTGTTGCCTCCAGGGAATGAAGGGATCCAGGGGCAGCATGTTCATAAATGTCTTTGTTGTCCGCCTTGCAGACTTAGAAGAGGAATCCGAAAGCTGGGAGAACTCTGAGGCTGAAGACGAGGAGAAAGCCTCTGTTGTGCCAGACGGTGTGGAAGGACGGGAGCTGACCAAATGCCCAACAGATTCTTCCTTGCTCTCAGACTGTGGGAACTGGCAGCCCCGAAAGGCGTCTGTCTTTAAGTCCCTTCGGCACATGAGGCAGGTAGGCAGCAGCAGGGCACACCCCCTCTCAGAAGCTCTGGAGAAGAGCCAGCCGCCTCCTCATCCAGCACACTTGGTCCTTCAGGCCCCTCGTGTTCAGGACCAGCGGGAGTGTTGGTTAGGAGTAACCAAAACCTCTATGGGAGGCTGAAGACAGCAGTGGCTGTCTGGGGTATCTTAGCCACAGGGTCAGTGCCCCCCTCTTAGTGATGATGTCGGTGTCACTTTTAAAGAAAGACTTGCACGGTTGGCTTCTCATGGTTTTCTAATCTTGTCATTCTGGAACCTTTTAAAGGAAGCAAGCACCACTATTGGTTTGCATGCAGCCTAGACACTTTGCAAAGTAGAAACGATGGCCCTTCTTACAAAATATTTTAAAGAACCCAGATGTCCAACTGTAGTAATTGCATCCAAATGATAGATTATCATTAAATACAAAGAAGAAAGTAAACAATATGTCGTGCAGGATGGTGTGTGTGTTTATATATGCAGTACCAGAGATGGAGTCTCACACACTTTTGACCATGGTTCTATTTGGTCACATGAGAGGAAGAGATCATAAGATTATAAGGATAGTCGATTTTTATACTTTTCTGTGGTTATTTTTATAGTGAGCATGAGTTTTATCATAAGATGGTTGTTTCCGTTTTGGAAAATGGAGTAAAGACTGATTTAATGGCAGGTGCTCTGTGGGGCTCCTGGATTAAGGCACAGTCACCCATCAACATCACGTACTTGTCTAAAACCATTCTGGTCGATTACTCATGTAGTTTAAAGGTGGAAGGTATCTTAAATTCCATGGGAGGTGGGAGTATTTTGAAGCTATAAGAGTCTTACAAAATTTCTAGTATTCCTAGCCTCCCTTTTTATTTTTTAAAGCCATGCTTGTAAGCCATAGGCTAACAGACTAAATTCTCCTAAGATGCCTGCGTCAGGGAAGTGATAAAAAGTCAGGTGGAGAGAGGGACTGTTCTGGCTGAAGTAGGATGAAGACAGCAGAATAAACAGTTGTGATCCTTAAGTGAATCCTGGATTGAAAGAATAGCAGCTATAAAGGATATTGTTAGAGGTTTGGGGCTCCGGATGCTGTGTTGGTGGCACATCGTGTGGGGTTTTTGGGTGTGTCGGAGAGCCTTGTCTTTCCTGGGTTCTTGTGTCATGCTGCCCATCCCTTACTTTCCAGTGGTTCAGCAAAATGGTGGATAGAGAGAGAAAATGATTGTTGCAAAAAAGGTAACACTTTCTCTGCTTCAAGTTTGTAAAAATAAATTGGAGAAAATATCTTAAAGTGTATGAGGGCTTTGGGATCAGGCTTTCAGGTGCAAATCCAGAGACTTCTATCTGTGTCTTCCTGACTGCAGACTAGTCACCAGCCTTTCTCTTGTGACCCATCTCCCTTCACTGTGCAGAGAGCACATGAATAACTTGAGGTACACAGAAGGAAACTCCCAGAGAAAACATGGACCTGTATTTTTCAGGTCCTGGGTGCCCCATCTTTTCGCATGTTGGCCTGGCACGTTCTCATGGGGAATCAAGTGATTTGGAAAAGCAGAGACGCAGACCTTGTCCAGTCAGCTTTTGAAGTTCTTCGGGTAAGAGGATCATTTCTCTTAAGTGTTTTGTAGCAGGACCGTGTTTGCTTCGTGGGCTTTTTTTTAAATCGTGACTTCGGGTGTGAATGTTAGGAGGCATTAATGGCTCAGTGCAAAGGTTCACGCCTGACTCTAAGATCTTTGTTGTTTTCTCCATTGTTTAAAATGGCAGCCCTCGATGGTCGTTATTTTGGGAGTCTGTGCTTTCCTGATAGATTGATAACTGACTACCTTATCCCCCATCCCCAAATCCTTCTAAGAAGCCATGAGAGTGGTTCACAGCTGCCATAGAAACAGGTCTGGGTCGCCACACGTTCCTGTGCACAGAACATTCCCGATGAGTCAGGTGGGATGCGGGTCTACCATGCTGTCTGCGCCCCAGAGACATAGTGGGCACCAAGCTGCAGGTCTGGCTCTGATGATATCGAAGTCCTTAGAAACCTGGTGCATGCTTCACGTCTGGCTAGGCCTGTGAGGGCACAAAATGCATATGACATAATGTCTCAGAAAGCTTAATATCTCTTTTTGGGATGAGGGGAGAGACAGACACCTGCGAAATCAAAGAACGATAGAAAGATTAATACCGCAAAGCAAGAGGTGGCACGAGTCCTGCATGACAGATTGCCGGATGGGAGTCGGGGCCGTGTGGGAGACATCCCAGTGGGGCTGTGTGACCAGGGACGGCCTCTGGGAGGAGAAGCTCTGCACTGAGCTGCAGAGGCCGCGTGGGGTGTGTGCGATGGCTACAGGCAGAGGCGTGGGACGTTCCATCTGGTGTCGGTCTGAGCCACTCCGTCCTCTCTAGACTATGCTGCCAGTGGGCTGCGTCCGCATCATCCCTTACAGCAACCAGTACGAGGAGGCCTACCGGTGCAACTTCCTGGGGCTCAGCCCCCACGTGCAGATCCCCTCCCATGTGCTGTCCTCAGGTGTGTACCGTGCCCGTCTGACCCGAGTCCCTGCACCTCCGGGTGCACAAACGGAAGCATATCTGCGCTGTGGATGTGGGGGTGCTGCTGGCTCGGAAGCAGGGGGAGCAGCTTTCCTGGTGGTTTTGGGTGTCTCTTTCCGTAAAATGGGGCGAGGGTTGGGCTAGGAGGCCTCTGAGTGAGGGTGGCTTGTCTGGATGTGTTCTCGAGGGAGGGCAGGATACAGTCCTGGGGGTGGGGGTGGGGAACCACACAGATGGATGTCAGGGGCTCGTCATGTGCTGAATTGGTGATCCAACATGATTCCAGAGGCCACTCTTCTTTTACATGCCTTAAGTCCATCCTTAGCATTCATTAGTACAGTGAGGCTTGCTCAGCCCGGCTCTGCCCTCAGTGCCAACAGACTCCCTCCTCCGGGCAGGGCCAAGGATCTACTTAGTGACCTCATCTTTTGGTTTTGGGAGTTGGGGGGTGGTCCCAGCCGCCCCAAGGAAGCCAGGGGCTTCTCTGAGCATCCGAGCACACCTATGGGAGGTGGCCGGAAGGGTGATGCACCCCAGCTGGGTCCTTGGGGAGGCACCTTTTTTTTGGAACATGGGTTCCTGGTTTCAGAGATGGGCTTGAACTTCACTATTAGCTGTGTGACCTTGAGCCAAACCTCTTTGTTTCCCTATCATAAAATGGGGCTAATGGGGACCACTTCAGAAGGCTGTTTGGTGGTGGTAAGCGAACTGAGGTATATAATTAGTAGTAACTGTAACATACGCATTAGCTGAGGCAAGAGTTACCCTCTACTGTATTCGCAAATACACCGAAAAAGGCTTTAAATGCCCAAGCATTAGTCTGGGGAGGTATTTCCACTCTGATTTGAGAGGACTTGGGGTGGCGGCAGGAGGCAGGCTCCCCGAGCCATGCATTTTGTGTTGCTGCAGAATTTGCTGTGGTCGTGGAGGCCCATACGGCCCCTCGCTCCAGCCTCCACCCCATCGGGTCCGAGGATGACCAGTCCCTCAGCAAATACGAGTTCGTCGTGACCAGCGGAAGTCCCGTAGCCGCTGACCGAGGTGGGTGCTGCTGAGCAGGGCTCTGTCTCCCAGGGGGAGGGGAGAAGAGGGTGGAGCCTGCCTCTCCCCCCGCCCCCGAGCTGAAGGCCCCACCCTTGTTCCAGTTGGCCCCACCATCCTGAACAAGATGGAAGCCGCTCTGACCAACCAGAATCTGTCTGTGGGTGTGGTGGACCAGTGCCTCGTCTGCCTCAAGGAAGAGTGGATGAAGTGAGCACCCAGCGCACTGGCCCTACCTTTGGCTTCCTCCCGGGGTAGATGCTACCTTTGGCAGCCGGCAGCAGTTACATTTTGCTGGCCAGAACCGGAAGCTGTTTCCAGAAAAAGAAGCTGTGGCCTCCATGAGAAATGGGGTAGCATAGAAGTTAAGAGCTTGGGTTCAAATAGCATCTTTGCCGTTTAGTCTGTTAGCTGGCTGACCGTGAGCCAGGTTAGCGCTCCTAGTCCTCACACTACTCCTTTGTGACATGGAGGTGACACACCTGCCTCCAAGAGAAGTCATTTTTGCTGCTTAATTAACTTTAAAATTCTGAAAGCCACATAACAGACGTTCCCTTTCCGTTGAAGCTAACTAGTTATTCCCTTAATAATTTTTCCTTAGTAATTTTTTTGGTCAAATTCAATTAGACATTATCCTGATTTATGAAGCTTGGGAGCAATGAATTCCTTTAATGAATTTAAAGAAACTGGGTTCCCCCCCACCCCCATTCTGAGGCACCAGCCGTGTTACCCGGGGTGGAAGTGCTGGGCAGGCGAGAGGTCCTGAAGCGCGCCGGCGCCTGCAGGGCCCCAGCTGGTCCTGAAGCCGTTAGGCCCTGGTGCAATTATGCTGTGGTGTCTGAGTGCTTTGTTTTTGGTTTTCTTCAGCAAAGTGAAGGTCCTTTTTAAATTCACCAAGGTGGACAGTCGACCCAAAGAGGACACGCAGAAGCTCCTGAGTATCCTTGGAGCATCCGAGGAGGACAACGTCAAGCTGCTCAAGTTCTGGATGACGGGCCTGAGCAAGACGTACAAATCGCACCTCATGTCCACAGTCCGCAGCCCCACGGCCTCAGAGCCTCGTAATTGAGCCCGCCTTGGGAATCTGACCCACGTTCACTTTCTGAAGAGTGGGGATTGCTATCTTGGCCACTGAGCTCAGAGACGGGCCTTGAAGGCAGGCACAGACCAGTCCTGTTTCTGAACCGCTGGCATGGAGCTGTTTCCTAGCAAGGAATGGAAACTGTTGCAGCAGAACTTTGCCCTCTGTGCGGGATTTGGGCCTGATACAGTTTTCAGCACCATTCCACGAGCTGGTTGAATTGCTGTAGCCCTGAAGCGGGCACGTGGAGATTTGGGACACTGGGTGCTCTGTGTGTGCGCACTCCTGTGGGAGATGACCAAGGACAACGTGCATCTCATGTCTCTCAAGGATTTAGATCTCAGAATTTATAGGGAAAACACCTCAGGCCGGTCCCAACTTGGGTATTTTGGCCACACTCTCAAGGTTAATGTTTGAACCTTACTGTTCTGAAATCCAAGACTTTTCCAGGTTTTATATGTCTGTGTGTATGTTTTGCTCCAGTTGTGACTTTTCAGGACATGTGCTGATCCTCAGTCATTGTTAGTAATCTGGTTTTGAGCTCTGGGAATGGCCTTTGTGGTGGAATGGATGTTTTCCTCATCTTTGGGCCCTCCAGAATTCATGTTCTGGAATTGTGTGACTTCCAAGGCTTCTGACCATGCTCTCAGGTGGTTGCTTTGACATTTCCCTGTGGCTTGAGGACAGGCCACTGATCCTTCTTACACAAAAATGATTCTTTGCTGAAACATCAGATGGAGCCATCTGTCTTGCCTGACTCACTGGAAGTGGAGTTGAGGGACCCAGCACAGTCCTCTTCCGTATCACTTAGCCCTTTATTGCTTCTTTAAACATTTACATTTGGCAGCAGGTAACAGTTTTCAGAATATGGTGACTTAAGATCGTCTCCTCATCCCAGTGTGTACCTTTAAAAAGGGTTCATGGCTTGGAGGGGTTTTCCAGCAGTTTTGCTGATTTGTTTATAGTTTTTTGTGTTTGCTTAATTTATATTTAACATGGAGACTAAGTTTATATGACTAGGTATCTATCACACAAGAACGTTGAAACACAATAAAGATGTATTTTTTTAAACTGTTGACTACATGGTTTTGTTGGTTTGATACCCAGAAGTTTTCTTGGGATCAGTCACAGAAAATATCTTGACTAAAAACAAACCTGTGTTCTTAGAACCATTTTGGAACTCTGGAGTTGGTTAAAGACTTGTGAATTCTAGAGGACTTGGACTGTACATTGTGGTTAGTTTTGATCAATTTTAGCTCCCAGCACAGAGCACTCCCCATCCCCTACCCCCAGCTACATAGGTGCGCAGGTGCCCTTGGAGCAGCTTGCACACCCCATAGGGGAGCTATGGTGGGTACCCTCGAACCTAAAAAGGACCCCTACAACCATCAGGGAATCTGTGCTCTGAGCACTGGTTGCTGCTTTGGATCACAGGTGCGAAGAGGCTGGAAGCCGTTGTTGCACTTCCCCTCACTGTTGCAAGCCCCTCCCTCTCTGGCTGCCAGGAGACTTAATGGTCTGATGCCCTTGCCCCTCCTTCAGTTCCTGTGTATGATTCCCCTTTCAGGAGCCAGACAATAAAAACTAGAAGGTTCAGAGACAACTGCATATACAGGGAAAATTAGAAACTCTGCATGCCTAAGGAAGGCTCAGAGAAGACCTGAGTAAAACAGAAGTTTATATATCCCAGTCTGATCCTTGGCAAAAAGCCTACAATAGAAATAGAAGACAAAAAACAGCAAACCTTAGGGAAGGGGTACTGTCTGATTTTCAGTAATCACATGATTAGATTTAAATGTCGGTGTCCAACCAAAAGTCAAAGGATACAAATAAATAGGAAAGTATGTCCCATTCAAAGGAAAACCAACAGAACTGCTTCCTGAAAGACTTATTGGCAGATACACTAAACAAAGTCAAATCAACTGTTAAGATGCTGAACTAAAGGAAGATGTGAAGAAAGCCAAGAAAATGTATGAACAAAATGGAAATATAAAGAAACAAAACCTAAAAACAGAATTTCAGAACTGAAAACTACAACTGAAATGAAGAATTCACAAGAGTGCCTCCAAGGCCAACTTAAACAGAAAAAAAGAATCTATGAACTTAGAGCTATAACAGTGGACATCATTGAGGCTATGGAACAGAGAAACATTGAAGAAAAGTGGACAGAACCTAAGAGCACTATGGACACTATTAAAAGGATCAATATGTACATAGTGGGAGTCCCAGAAGGGAAAGCAGCAGAGGACATTCAAAGAAAGAGTGGCTGGGGCACCTGTGTGTCTCAATTGAGCATCCAACTCCTGATTTTGGCTCAGGTCATGGTCAAAGGGTTGTGGGATCGAGCCCCATGTTGGGCTCCATGCTGAGTGTGGAGTCTGCTTGAGATTCTCTCCTGCCCCCGCCCCCCGGCCCCTGCTTGCGTCCTTTCCCTGTAAAATAAAAATTAAAGAATGCTAAAAACGAACCAAATTTGATGAAAGATGGGAACATAAATATATAAGAAGCTCAGAATCTCCCAAGTAAGATGAACTCAGAGCACTCTGAGACACTTTCTAACCAAACTTCTAAAATGCATTGAGCAAATCTTGAAAGCAGCAAGAGAGAAGCAAATCATTACATATAGTGAGAATGCATACAGATTTCTCATCAGAAACGTTGGAGGCCAGAAGACAGTGGGCCGATACAGTCAAAATGCTAAAGCAAAACACACACACACACACACACACACACACACACCCTATAGTCCTATCCAGCAAAATTGTCCAAAAGTAGGGGAGAAATCCAGACATTCCCAGATAAAAAGAGGAGGCAGTTTGTGACCCCTATAAACATCCTGCAAGAAATGCCCACAGGAGTCCTGCAAGATGAAGTGAAAGGACACCATCAGCACCTCAAAGCCATGTGGAGAAATAGATTTCAATAAAGGTAGATCATGGGCAATTATGAAAGCTAATATTGTAGCAATGGTTTGTAACTGTAGTCTGTTTTCCACATGACTTAAGCACACCTAATAAACTTGTATTGGGGCATCTGGGTGGCTCAGTCAGTTAAAGCGTCAGACTTGATTTTGGCTCAAGTCACAATCCTTTGGTTCATGAGTTTGAGCCCTGCATCAGGCTCCATCCATGCTGACAGCACAGAACCTGCTTGGGATTCCCTCCCTCTCTGTCCCTCACCCGCACACACTCTCTTCTCTCTCTCTCAAAATAAATTTAAAAAGTATTATATCTACTTTAGTTTGTAACTCCAAATTGTGTTTTCCACAGAATTTAGGAGACTAATCCATTTAGAAGAATTATTAGCTTATGTTTTGGGGCACCCAGTGTATAAAGATGTAATTTCATTATATTGATAACCATAAAGAGTAGGAAATGAATTGAATTTTTGTATGTTACTAAAGTTAATCTGCTATAAAAGCAAACCAGAATGTTCTAACTCTAGGATGTTAAATGTAGTCCCCAGGACAACCACAGAGAAAATAGCTATAGCCTGTACCCAAATGGAAATTAAAAAGGGATTTAAGCATTTCACTAAAAAAACAAACAAAAACAAACAAAAACAAAAACAAAACCCCCACAAAAGACAGGCATGTAGCAAATGAGGAGCAAAGAAGCTATAGGGCATATATAAAATATCACAATGACTGAAGTCAGCCCCTTTTTGTTAGTAATTAAAGTAAATGGGTTAAACCCTCCAATCAAAGACAGAAATTGGCAGAATGGATAAAAACACATCCAATTAAATGCCCTCTACAAGAGACTCATTTGAGACCCATAAACACAGTTGAAAGTGAAAGGGTGGAAAATATATCCCATGTAAATTAGAACCAAAAGAGAGCAGCAGTGGTTATACTAATATCAAGTAAAATAGATTTTAAATCACAAAAGATGGGAAGGAAAAACAAGAAAAACAGGGAGGCAAACCACAAGAGACTTATTTATTTATTTATTTATTTATTTTTACAAATAGTTTATTGTGAAATTAGTTTCCACATAACACTCAGTGCTCATCCCCACAAGAGACTTAAATACAGAGAACAAGAGAACAAACAGGGTTGATGGTGTCATATGTAAGTGATGAATCACTGAATTCTACTCTTGAAGCCAAGACTACACTATGTGTTAACTACTTGAGAATTTTTTAAAAATCACAAAAGTTTACAAGAAACAAAGGATGGTATATATTAATAAAAGGCTCAAGATGGCAAGAAGATAGGACAATTATAAACATTTACACACCTAATGACAGTATCAAAATACATGAAGCAATAAGCAGAATCGAAGAGATAAGTAGATTGTTCTATGATAATAGCTGAAGATTTCAATACCAAGGAAACAGAGGACCTAATACATAAAACCAGCCAGATCGAACAGACCTACACAGAGCTCTCCACCCAACAGCAGCAGAATACACACTCTCCTGGAGTGCACTTGAGACATTAGCCAGGATAGGCCATATGTGAGGACACAAATTAAATCTCAGCAGATTTAAAAAGGGGTACAAAGTATTTTCTCTGATCACAATGGGATGAAGTTAAAAATCAATAATGTACAACTGGAAAATTCACAAAATTGTGATAGTTAAACAACATACACAACCAGTGGGTCAAAGAAGAAATCACAAGGGTAATTAGAAAATACTTAGAGGTGAATGAAAATGACCCAGAATACCAAACTATGGGATGCAGCAAAAGCAGTGATGGGGAAATTTGTAGATGTAAATGCTTACATTTAAAAAACAAGAGCGCTTGGGTGGTTCAGTGGGTTAAGTGTCTGACTCTTGATCTCAGCTCGGGTCTCCACCTCAGGGTGTGAATATAAGGCCCATGTGGGGCTCCATGCTGGGTGTGGAGCCTACTTAAAAATTCAAAAAAAAAAAAGCAAGAAAGATCTCAGGTCAACAACCTAACTTTACAATTTAAGGAACTAGAAAACAGAACAAACTAAATCCAAAGCTAGCAGAAGGAAGGAAAGCATACAGATAAGAGCATTTTGAAAATATATTTTGAAAGACCTACTTATTTGCATAAGCTTTCAATTACAATATTCCTTCTTGAAAGTGCTCCCTTTCCACTTTTCAGATGAAATAGCAATATGTGTAAAGGGCATTGTTGTCCTGGTTTTCAATCTAACAAGCTTTAGCAATATGTAGAATATATAGTAAGCATAGTTCTTTGAAATGTTCTTTTTGAACTTTTTGGTAGAGAATGATTTCTGGGGCAGCTGAGGGATTGGTGCCATGAGTGACATCTGAGTCAGTGGTTTACTCTCTATTCCTGTCCTTTTTTTTTCTTTTCTTTTTTTTTTTAATGGACAGTTATTTACTTCCTCCTCCTCCTCTTCCTTTTTCTTTCTGGTTGATTTAATTCCTTTATTCAACAATATTTCTGAGTGCCTAAGATATACCACACATTATTCTGGGGGCTAGACATACTGCTCCCTGCTCTTTTGAAACTTACCATCTTGTGAGAAAGCTGAAACGTAAGCATTTTAAACAAGTGAATAGGGTGAGAGAGAGATTAGTGAGAGAGAACAATGGAATGTTGTGTTGGAGAGTGCCCAACGGCCCCTCACTTCACAGAGAAGCTGACACTGGAACAAGAAAGAGCAAGCTGTTTCTTCCTTTTTGTGTCTGTCTTTTTCCTTCACTGTAGCCCATAGATTAAAAAAAACAAACAGATTAAGGAAATAGAGAATAGAAAGACAATAGAAAAAATTAATGGAACCAAAAATTGTTTCTTCAAAAAGATTACAAAATTGACCAACCTTCAGCTAGATAGACTAAAAAAAAAGACTCAGATTACTAAAATCAGAAATGAAAGTGGCAACATTACTTTCTATTCTCCAGAAATAAAAAGGATTATAAGAGAGTACTCTGAACAACTGTATGCCAACAAACTGGATAACCCATATGAAATGGACAAATTTCTAGAAATATAAAACTTACCAAGACAAAATCATGAAGAATAGAATATCTGAATAGACCAATAACTAGTAAGGAGATTTAATCAGTAAAAATAAATAATTAAAAAATCTCCCAAGAAAGAAAACTCCTTGAGTTGATGGCTT